GGTGATAAATGCCCTAACCCTGCAAAAACCCAAGATTAGTCTGGGTGGGGCTCTGAGCAACCTGATATAGTTGAAGATGTTCTTGCTCATGGAAGAAGGGCTGGTCTAGGTGACCTTTAAAGGTCCCCTTCAACACAAATTATTCTATGATTTGTATGACCTACTTGAACCTGAGAGTCAGACCAACAGTATTTCAAAGCCCATGACTTCAGACAAAACTAAAATGTATGCACATAAATGTGTGCATGATTGTTTTTTACAGCAAACTAATGCATATTCAAAGTCTTGATGAGTGAAGGAACAGGAAATTTGCACTGYGACAGATAAATTAACAATGACACGTGTTGCTCACCTCAACATCAGTAAAAGCTGAAGGGTCCTGCCTTCACTGGGGGAAGTAATTTCAGGTAATTATCCACTAAATGTCTTCTTTCACTGGCCCCATGCAGAGTAAGTGAAATAAAAAGAACACCTTCTCTGGCAGTGAATATAAAACCTAGGAGCCAAATCAGCAGGCAATCCACTTTCTCTGCCCTCTGGAATCATTACTGATCTGATTTACAGAAAATAATAAAATAATAATAATAATAACAGAAGGGCTGAGGGCAGTTTGGAGCACAGAATCAGAATTCAGAGTGATGAATGGTGGCCAGTTGGAAAAATRAGCTGAAATGCAGGATCCAGGAAACCTAGGGGATGAACATGAGTCAGTAATCACATGTATCTGTAGACAAACTCAATACCACAATGGAATGCCAAATTATGACTGCCATATTTAAGACACACAAAGCCATGCCTTCAGCCTACACAGCACTGGCACAGCATGTAGGGGTATAAACTTTTGAGAGCACTGCACTGCCAGAAAGGGGAACACAGGACTGCAGGAAGTTCAGGAAATGGAAAAAATTAAGAGGTCTAGAAAATACGACCTATGAAGACAGATTGAATGACCTGGCTTTGTTTAAAGTAGAAAAGAGAAGTCTGAGAGGAGATGTGGTAACAACTGTCAAGTATGTAGAGGTTTGCTGCAACAAGAAGATAATGAATTATCCTCTATACCTAATGGATTAAGACAGAGAGTAATGGGTTTAAATTGCACTGWGGGGATTTCCTACCTGGGGAGGCTGTGGAATCTGTCACCAGAGGTTTTAAGCAGCAGTTTAGACAAACATCTGTCACAAATGATTTAGAAGTAAATGCTTTGGGATGGTGGTCTGGTCTTTGGAGATGACTTCCCAAGGATTCGTCTGTAGCTGGATGACGGAATCAAGTGAATTGTCACATTATTTTACAATACCTTTGTACTTAGAACAGATTTTCATCCAGCAAAACCAAACCCAAGAAATTACAAACTCTCTCTTATTTGGTCAGAAGGGAAGGTGTGAGTTCTTTGTTTATTTTAACTAAGACAGTGGAAATGTTTCATTATGGTTCATTTCATTTTGGACTCAACACAAGATTAATCTGGAAGGTCTTAATCTGGGAATGGAATGTATATTGCTTTGTTAAATCAAATTCATCATAGCTAAAAATCTTCTCATTTATGCCACATCATTTACTCTGTTTGGTCCAATAACTTCCTTCAACATTCAGTTTTCATGAAAATATATATGAAAGAACTTCAGTTTAACACTATTTTTTGGATAAAGTTTTTTTTAGATAATAAATGAAGTCTAGAATAAATAGAATAAAAATATATTCACACCAAACATAAGGATTTAACATAAAGCAGTAAACATAGTTAACATAATCACTGCTTATCAGTGACTTCTTTAGGCCATCTCAGGAATATCCAGCTTTCAGAGCTTATACTTTTGTCACCAAAAATTTGTTATTATGAGAAATATACTGTTTCCCCTTTAAAGATATTAAAATGCCTGAGAGTGAGTCCACTCCTAGCAGTACCTTGTTCACAAAAATAATGAAATGCAGAAATCTGAAGAAAAGGATTTGGCTTGAGTGATCATGGGAATGCTGACAGGTAGAAGTTCAGCATAGACAATGAGATAAGAAGCAGCATCCCCCAGAACAACATCTTACATTGTCCTTGAAAAAGATTTCACTTTTAAACCTGCAAGGATTTCAAGGAAGATACTGTTTTAGTCTTTAATTTCTGTTGCTTCATGTTTTTGGACTGCCACTCATGCATTGAAGCAAGGCATTCTAAATTACATTTTAAGAGGAATTCTTCATTTTTTTTTTATTAGGCATATGCACATTTTTTAAGAGTTGTATTTATTTTTGTTGATATTTTCTCTTTCTGCAATAAAATACCATGAGATAAATAGATCTATTACTTTTTTAAAAGGGAAAATACAAGTCACAACACAGCTTTGAAAAGATAATTTCATATGATTAAATGAAAAAATAGTGGAAGAAAGAAAAGAATAAGTGCTGCTGACTACCTCCACATATTCCAAGATTATATAACTTTGTACCTAAATGCAATCATGTATGATGGAAAGCAATATAGTCTTGGAGAACACATCCAAAAAGCACTTTTTTCATGGTGAATTAAGGAAATAGACAAGGCCAAAGGAAAGCAGAGTTCCTTTGAGGGTTTGTTCTTCCCCATCTCCTGATGGTGCAATCCAAGCTTGCCCGTATGTTTTATTCTATACAGAAATCTGGGTAGTACCTGATATTTTGCAAGCCACTTAATACCAAATAGTTTCTAACAGCATCTGCTTCAGAACAGCACTGGTGACCCTGCAGTGCTTTCTGACTTTTACAGCACCAGAAAAAAACTGCTGTGTAACACCACCCACAACAGTCTTTTCCTCCTATTTGCCATTAGAAAATCTGCTTTCAAGCACTTTGCCAAACTTKGAGTCAGCTAAAGTTTTCCATTCTCAAAACCACAAGCATTCAAACATTTATGAGGAGTCCGGGGGGGATTCTTTTTTTTTTAAGAGCAAAAAAAATTTTGTGAATTTCCATTTGAAAAGTTCCAGTTTCTGTGTGGTAGGGCAGATTCTCTCTCTCCCTTGAGGGAAAAAGGGGTTAACAAATTCTTGGGCTGTGGAAGAACTGCACATCTGTGAGAGCTGAGCAGATGAATGTCTCTATTCAGCATGGATTGACGTTGTGGTCACGACCAAAATGCCCAAAGAACTTTCCCATCCAGAAAAAGTCCTTGATTAAAGTAACCAGAAAGCATACTATTGGGGGCCAAAATACGCCCGCAGATCCCCCGGCGCAGGAAAGACACACGAGACGAGGCAGGCAGGTTCTTCTTTATTAATCTTCGGATTTCAGGCTCTCTTAGATATAGTGATATTCAGYTCTGCTCTCTGTCTCTCTTAGTGATTGCAGCTCCCTCCTCTTCTCACTGCTACCAGCATGCTTTTTATACACTTTTCTTATCTTTCCCGCACATAGAATCACACCAATCAAACATGCCTCAGCCAGATCACATGGCTAGGCAGCCTCCAATGTTTATGCAGCATGTTTTTGTCTTTTATTGGTAGAATACTTTCATTTATCCAGTCCCATGACTGGATGCATCAGCCCAGCTTGAGTCTGCGCTATTTTGACCCTCTGAGCCCAGGCTGTGTCCGAGCCCAGCCCCCACACACAGCTGCAAGATATCGAGGGCCACAGCAGCATACAGCTCAGCATCCAGTAATTCAGCATCCAGTAGCTCAGCATACAGTAATTCAGCGTACAGCTGAGTCTCACTTTAAGGACAGAGGGATAATACATTAGGTTTGGGAGAAGAGTTCCTCCTTCAGAGGATCTCCTTCAGAGATCAAACTAGCTCAAGATTAAGAGAGATTTAGGGGATACACGTCTGACAATAACAACAGCAGTTAGTCCTAGAAGGCAGGAGATCTTTTTTACTTCAGTCCAATGGGGATTGTGACAACCTCCATGCTTGCAGCAAGGATTCAGTTTTTCTAAGTGTGTTCTCTGCCTTCAGTCTGAGAATGTTCCTCTACTTTTTAAAAAACATGGTGCTTCAAAAAAAGAGTAATCACARGTCACATCTCTGCAGCAGATGTTTCAACCTCCTTGAATAGTCAGTCACTACTCAGCTGCAACCTATGGCTCAGGAACACTGTACTTGCAAATACAGCTCTGAGSGATCTTCTGTATTTGATGGTGACTCTGGATGTGGCACCCAGAGCACGTAGTTGAGAAAATTAGCTGAATTAAATTTGAAGAAGACTATCCTGAGAATCCCAGTGGTGGAAATAAAAATTTAAATCTTGCTGAAAATTTATAAGTGGAGTATATTAGTGTGTAGCCGCAGCATAGAAAATTTCTTGGTTAATCTGATTTTGAACTGAAAAAGTATTTCAAAGTATTGAAGTGAGTTATTCCACATTTGCTTTGATCATACAAAACATGATTCTGATATTCAGAGTTCTGCTAAGTATGATCTGGCTACACAACGTACCTATGGTCATTGATGAGACCAGTGGGTTAGAGAATACCTGGATATGATAGAGTGTATCCCATCAGTGTATGATTTTGCCCAGCAAAACTCTGCTAAATCCTTTACAAAAGATTTTTTTTAAATGGAAACTAAACAATTTATAGAAATAACTTGATCTACTTACATTAAATATTACATGCATAAATTAGGGACATCTACTAAATATATAACATTATTTACAGTGCTGAAAGTGATCTGGCTCTACTGATTGCTGTTGAAGTGGGACTGGTAACTCCAATTTTTCACTTCCTTTTTCTTTTTCTAAATAATCTGATTAATAAATTCTGTTCTGGAAAATTTAAGTGAAAAGGCAGCATAATTTTGCAAAGAAAAAACTCAGTCTCTTTTCACCAGTCTTTTCACACACATGCTTTCTACTCTTAGCTAGAATCAACGACCACAGAAAAAGTCTAAAAAAAGCCCAACCAGTTATCTAAAAACTCTTTTCTAAGATCAAGACAAGTAAACTAGGAAGAAATGAACATTTTTTTCTGATAACTTTATTTTCATATTAACATTTTTCAAAACATTTAACAATGTTAAGTGCTTTTAAAAAATAGTTTCTTTCRAAGAGAAGATATTTGTCACATATTCCCTAAGAAAATTACAGAATGCAGTATAAACAGTAAACCAGTAAAATTCTCCCTTCAAACAACATCCCTGCTGATTCCAGTAACCGCAAAGAAGCATAACAGAAGGACTCTCATGGCATTTCAGAAAGACATACAGTCCTCTCTTTCAGAATAATTTAAAAGCTTTTCACAAATAGATCTAGCTTTAATAATGGAACACTTGTCATTTTACTTGCATTTTCAGTCTAAAGTGGTCCCAATCTAGCAAAGCACTACAGAATACATTTCACTATAAGCACCCAAGAAGCCCTTTGAAAGCTACTTCTGCCTTGATTTGCGAGAATGAAGGCAAAATATGTAATCTCCTTCTTTTCTTAATTTTTGCAGTAAAGGTTAGAACAACAGAAAAAACTTCGAGAACCAGCTTGAGGAACTTCCAGCTTGAGAAAATAAAGTCAGAAGAAAACTGTAGTTTAAAAGGGAATATTATGTCATTTGCTTATGGCCAGTTACCAGTCTCCTTTCTCTCAGCAAATCGTTATTCTCAGAGTACCACGGCCAAAGTTCCACAGGTTGGCAAGTATCAGGGTAGAAACAATCGGAGTTTGCCATCCAAGGTGGCTGTGGTGAGCTGCAGTTCAAAAGAAAAGAACATACGGCTTTAGTGAAGATCTTTCCAGTGAGCACAGTTTGCTTTAGAGCAACAAACCGAATGAAGGTCATTAAGATGATATTTAAATTACTTTTATGTTAAGAGGCTCAGGATTCATTTCCAAGAAAAGGAATAACTTAAACTATAGGCTTCTCAACCAAGCTAATCTGAAAATTCCATTTCACTTAGATTTTTCTTTTCCAACTATTTTCAAATTTGTGTCAACATCCACTAACATATCAACAGTCTGTAAAACTGAAGCATATGTTAAAACCACATAGAAAGTCAAACAGACTTCACTGTGTATGACTCAAGAAGGAAATATGGAAGGAATAAGAAAGCTGGAATAAACGAAGATGGAAAATACTGTGAATTAAATCAGGCATACCAACAAATACAGTTTTCTGATTTTTATTGGTGCTAAGTGTAGAGTAAGAATTTCCTTTGTAAGAAAGTATGTTGAAAAATTTTATGAAGAGGCAAGTCTTGCAGACATGCATAAAGATCTTCCAGTTGCATTAGCTTTCTTTTACCTGTCTCAGATGATCTTAATTATAAAATGAGAGGAAATACTATTTTCTGCATTTACTCCTACAAACAAGCACTTGAAAATCTGCTTTATCTCAGAAAGGAGACATCCACAAATGGCACCATTGATTATCCATTAAAAATTCAAGGTGTTTACTCCTTGCATATTAGGATTTACAGTTATTCACACCAGTGGTAAAAAATCTGAAGAGCTGGAACCAAATAGGCATCTCATGCTCTGACCAGTTCCTTTGGTTAACTTTTTGCATCCTCATTTTTCTTGATCGCTTCTTTCTTTGACACATTGACTCATTTGTTTTATTCCTTTGGATAAAGGAACCCCKTAGTCAATAATCTTTTTGGGGTTGTATTCCCTCCTTCAACATCTCCAATGATTGATACTTCTAATCTCTCCTAACTGCTATCTTCCAAGATAGTGACTTATATTATCTTTTCTTCTTACTCTCACTTATCTATCATGAAAGTATAGACTGTCCAGAACTGTCCAATCTAATTTCTCCTAACTTGACTTTTAACAGATATCTAAGATTATTACATGCTTCTGAAGACTTCTAATATGTCTGTATCTATCTCTGCAACTTATAATTGTGTTGTTATTTAACCCAGACAGCAACTAAGCACTGCAGAGCCACTTACTCACTCCACCCCCAGGGGGATGGGGCAGTGAATCAGAAGAATAYGTGAGAAAGTTTATGGGTTGAGATAAAAAACAGTTAAATGTCAATGTTCATCCTTCAAAAGGATGAAACTAACAATAATGTTAATGATAACAATAATGATAAAAGAATTACAATAAACAAAACAAGTGATGCACAAGGGTCACCACTCTCTCATCAATGGCTAGACACTTCTTATGCAGATGCACTAAGCCAGCTTTCCCCTCAGTTTACATACACTGAGGATGATACCACATGGTGTAGAATATCCCGTTGGCCCGTTTGAGTCATCTGTCCTGGCTGTGTCCTTCACAGCTTCTTGAGCCCTTCCAGCCTTCTTGCTGGCAGAGCAGGAGAATCTGAAAAATCTTTGATAACTTTATCTTAGGATAAACACTACTTAGCAACAACTAAAACATCAGTATATTATCAACATTACGCTCATACTAAATCCAAAACACATCAGCTACTAGGAAGAAAATTAACTCTATCCCTGCCAAAACCAGGACATATTGAAAAGAAGATGTATCTATAAAATACCTAAGTAATATGTCCTTTCCAAATTTCTGTAGCCATATATCATGTGCTTGAAAAAAGAYAATACTTCCACTATTATTTCATGTTATTCAAAGAAAATTGACTTAACCTGAGAAATCAGAAATTAATTCTATTCTAACTGAAGGTTCATTATTACAGGAGACAATACAGAAGCCTTGTTTAGCTTTCAATTTAAAATAAAATAATTTTAAATAAACTGTAATTTTACATGACCCAAGTAGGTCAACTTGTCCATCTTCCTGTCTAGGTACGACTGCAGACAATATTAGCCAGGCTTAGTCTGGCTAAATCTTAAAAAAAATTTAAGGAAATTTCACAACTCATTCCAGTGTTCAACTGCCCTCTCAGTGTCTTTCAATTTTTTTGTCTGTTGTCCAACCTGAACCTCAAAAACTGCAATGTGTCATCAGTCCTCCTATCGTATCCTCTGACAGTACTGAAACACAGCTCAGCTTCCTCCTGCTAAATGTATTCGCTACACTGCTATCACATTCTGCTTCCATGCTCCTTCTGTTTTAATTAATCATAAAAAATTATCTTTCTACTCCAACTAACCACCTCCACACTTTTGGCAGCACCAAACCAATCACTGAATTGTTAGCTGAACTAAAAACGCCCACCTTCTGGCTTTCAGATCTCTCCTTGTTGGTTTTGTGCTCTAAACTGCTGACTGTGTCACTTCTCCTTCCTTTTCCCTTTCTCTTGCTTTTTCAACCTGTTTTCCTTGGCAGTTGATAAAATGAGGTTGGCCTTTGACTGCACCATTCTCCTGGGAAGTGTTACACTCAATATCTTGCCATGAACAGAAGGGATATACCATATATACAGAGCCAGTAGTTTTTATTTAGCCCAACCAATGCTTTAAAAGTCTAATATAAAGAAACCCATTATTAGACAGTTAAAATAAAACTCATAATAATAAAAAAAAAAAAAACAAAACCCTCTAATTATTAAATAAAGAGTTCATAAAAAATAGAGGGTTTGGTGGGGTCAGTTAGTCATTAGGATCATGAGTTCTTTCAGTGTTGATATTGATTTTCCTCCTCAGACTGAGTTTACCTCGGGTTATATTTAGACATTACATGGGTTAATGCAAACTAGCCCTGCTCTGGTTCAATGGATTGAAAGTACATTAGCACACTTACGAGTGCGTCCCTGGAGTTCATTTTCTGGTTTGACTTTGTCAGAAGCAATGCCAAACTGCATCCTCACTAATACATCCTCTCATACAGCAATGAGAAGTGTAGTGGTATAAGTAGGGGCCACTGGGAGATTCACTTCAAAAGCGCATTTCTGATCCAAACTAAATTGCTAATACACACTCACAGGGGGTCCAGTTTAGCCTCCATATGTTAAAATAAATTCCTATGCCTGACTGCTGAAAAGGCATATTCACTTGTGTAAGGGGCATGCTTCATACAATCACAGAATATGCTGAGTTGGAAGGGTGCCACAAGGATAATTGAGTCCAATTCGTGGTCCTGCACTATCCCCAAGAGTCACACCATGTGCCCCAGAGCATTGTCCAAATTCTTCTTGAACTCTGAAAGGCTTGGTGCAGTGACCACTTCCCTGGGGAGCCTGTTCCAGTGCACAAATACCCTCTGGGTGAAGAACGTTTTCCTAATCGAAACCTCCCCTGACACAATTTCAGGCCCTTCCCTTGTGTACTGGCCCTGGTCACCACAGAGAGCTATCAATGCCGGCCCCTCCTTTCCCCTCTTGAGGAAGGTGTAGACTGCAGTGAGGTCTCCCCTCAGTCTCCCCTTCTTTTATGAAGGGACTGAAGATAAATTCAGAACATTCATGAGAACAATTTTACAGTGTGCTGTATTTCAGACAACATAGAAAATTTAGTTAATAGTGTAATAGCAATATGATAACAATATAAAGCTATTAGCAATTTGTATTAACATGGATAATAAGGGCTTCTAAAAATCTAGTGTGTAGGACACTTGAAATTTCTGGTTTATTACACTTAAGAGATATTAAAATGGATTAGTAATGTTTTCAACTATATTTAGAATCCACAGAAATTTCAATAAGATTTTTTAAAAAATATTTAACTTATTCCAATAGTACCTTTCCAAATAATGCAAGCATGTTACTTCGTTTAAACCCCTCAGTTCCCAAACATGAGGGTCCAAAACTGTGTTTTACATTWTATTTGAAATTCCTATAGTAGTTAAGTCAATATACTACTTACAGTAAAAAGAAAAACACAAACAAACTGAAATCAAACCAAACTAAAAGCCCAAACTAATTCTATCTTACTATGACCCATTCAAATCTTGGCATCAGTTTTGTGAATAATTTGAAACCTACATAAAAGTTTTCTATGGGACAAACACTAGAATATTTTGGATTATGAAAGTGTGGATTTTTTTTATATCAATGGATTTATGAGGGAAGAAAAGATCTTCAAGTAGGGCAGAGAATAAGACTGAAGTTTTGTGCATTTCAGAGCTTTTTACAAAAAGTTCAAGCTTTAGAATTGCACCTATGACATTTGGCACCAGATTGGGCAGAAGTTCTTAAAAATAGCTCTCTGCTTCATAGTCTGCACAAGATATAAAAGTTTACCAGATATTAAAGCTAAATCAGTGACACATTAGAGACATACACCAAAGAAAAAAAAACCCAAAAACAAGAAAAAAAAACAATCCATGAAACAAAAGCCAGGCTGTAAATTATAGACCTGGATTTTTTTAAAGCCCCAAACACAAATACTTGAATTTGTATAGAAATGCATCTGATTTATAATCTGTTTTAATATTTCACACAACATACACATATATATATATATAAATATATGTACACAGGGTAGGCTTCAAGACATACTGTACTTCAGAAAATAAGAATCAAAGCAATTTCAGCTGCTTTCACACTGCAGGCATATAATATGATATTGCTTTCATTTAGTTAGTATAAATATGCATAATATGCAAGTAGAGGCATAAATTTTGAAGAAGTCCACTATCTGCAGAGCAAAGAAGTATCATCTTGCCAAAATTCCAGTATTCAGCAGAACAGAGGGGAATACAATCTTCAGGGGGTTAGTATTTTCAGCTTTCATTATTCAAGCTATTCTATGAAAATAAGAAGCCACAAGTAAAACCAATGCTCTTRAATTTTGCATTGGTTGAACTAGCAACAATCAAGTAAAATAGGAAAAGGAGACATTATGGAACTGGATATTACTATCCTTTTCCTATT